CATGTGGCAACTTGACATGCGTGGCCGCCGTAGCGGGCCAGAATGACTTGCGGAGGGTATTTGTCTTACCCAAATTCTGAATCCCATCAGCAGCCAAACCTTTCCAATACAGGATGTGCAGCAATGAGCAGCCGCCTCTATTTTGCGCCTGCGCAGGTGGAACAATGTGCGATGGGAATGGATGGTGAGGGGCACATCCGTGCTCGGCGCTTGGTGAAGGGAGCCTGCAAACATCTCTAACCACTTGCGTTTCTACGAAGGATGTAGCATCCAGGATCGACCGTGGGTGCTTTGAAGTTGTTTCGCAGGCTTGGAACTCTATGGATTGGCAGCCCTCGGGCCTTGCAGGGATTTATTTTTGGTAAGGGGTGCTTGAAGCACCACACCAAATCCTCAAAACAAAACTTGAAATGTGCCAGGAGTTGACAGCAAAAACTTAGATTATGCCAGTTCGACCATCAAGAACAGGGCGCAATTTTCCAGTAACGAGCACCGCGCGTTCTTGAAACGGCTCGGAGGCTCATGCATCTATGGGGGTTTCCCAAAATTAGGGATACCATTATAATAAGGACTATAGTATTTTAGGATCTATATTGGGGTTCCCTTATTTTGGGAAAATACCCTATTGACTCCGGATGGGAGCCTCACAGAACATTTTCAATATGCAAGTCTGTTGTGAGCTACTCTTGGGTTGAAATCACTTTTTGCTCCATTCTGGAAGTTGCCGATCTTCTCAGCTTTCTGCTCAGACATAATCAAACACCCGCACTGAACTTTAAAACCTAAAGGCCCCACCAAACCTTGACGAAGATCCTCGGTCCATTTACCAGATATCAGCAAGAGTTCCAACAGTGGCTGCCCTGGCTTCTGGCCCAGAGCTCCAAAAATGTGGGCCTCCCCTACGCCCTCATTCCCCCAAGCTCCTCAGAGACTCCAAGACCAAAAGTCCTCTGAACTCCTCGGCGCTTGGGTGGCGCCGGGCTCATGAGCGGAGCGCTCTAGCAATGCCGGCGGAGAGCCCCAGCGAGGAGAAGTCTCGAGACTCAGCGCAGACTGGCAGCTGCGGTTTGTTCTGGTATTGCTGCATTCAAGGGAGTTCAGAGACCAATCGCTAACAACTGGAAGTCACCTTCTTCTCGATGAAGTCTACCCAAGACAACCTCCTGGTGCACAACCGGGGCAGACCACTAATACACGGTCTCTGCAGGACAGCCGAAAAGCGTCACATAAGAAGTCTAGCAGCCTGTAGTACGTACTTCACGTTCTGCTCCTCCTATTCCTGCTGCTGCTACTTCTCCTTCTACTACTATAGTAACCACTCAGATTAGGACAACTGCAACACTAACAACAGCCCTGCACTATTTGCACTGTTGGCAACAGGGCCGTCAGACTTTCTGTTGTGCTGCTTTTTATCTCTGCAGTTAGAGACAGTTTGTAAGAGTTGTCACCAGACATATGTATCTTAGAATTGTCGAGGCAGTACCCGTAGTTACCCTAGCAATTCGACTATGTGATCAGAAGAAGTGTAGCGAACTTAGAGAAAGCCCAGGAAAAGCACACAAGGCCTCTTTTGGGGCGAGCTTCACAAGAAAGGTCGGAAGAGGATCTGCAACACCTCGTAGCGTATGAACAAATCAGGAGCACGTCTCAGGGCCAGGGCTCTCAGCCCGTCCATACTTTTAATGCAGCCAAACTTTCACAGATGGCATTTGATACATCATTCTTGGGCTTTTGGCGACTGAGGGGTTGTACACATTGTCCGGCAAGTTGAGTGTTGCTATTGCATGCCCATATAATTCGGCGTAGCCTCAGGAAGCCTCATAAGTTGTGGTCCTGGGGCTTCGGTTCCATCACTGAAACCAGGATATCGCTTCGAGTGCTACCGCAGCCGGCCACCCCGATGGTCGTATGATGCGATCCCGCGGCTGATCTTTTTGAGAGCTTTGGGGCTGGGTTACCAGGGTCCAAGTAACTGTAGGAACACATCTACAGGTGGTGGAGTGGTGATGTTGTGCCATTATGAGATTTCGCCTACACTTGGGACTAGCACAAGTGACATTACTGTTTTCCTTCCTTTGGTAGTGGTGTTCGTTGTCTTTATCTTTATTCCAACATCGTGGTTGCAGATATCAAGGCAGCATATGGAGGAGAAGAGGACTAGGAGGAGGGATGGGCGCAGTATGCGTGTTTGAGTAGTGAGAGGAAAATGGGCCGGAGGCATATGAAAGAACTGAGTAGGAGGAGCAGGAAGAGGAGGAGGAGGAGGAGCAAGCAATTGCGTCAGATGCGCGAGAGTTAGCACAACGGGAGCTCTCTGTATCACAAAGGGGCTTTTGCTCGTCTGGTCTCCATTGTCGTAGTAAGGCCTGCAGTGTCGTATCCCTATCCTATTTGGAGAAGCCCGCTGGACCACAAACCCTAAGCGCCAAGCTGAGGTTCAGCGGGGCATATGGTGCGACCATTGCGCTGCTGGCAGCAATTGTGATGAACCTAGTCCTGCAAATGAATCGAAATGCTTGTAACAGTCCCGAAGAAGGTCATGGTGGGTAGCTCAAAGGATTGTTCGGGACTTTCTAGGGGCTGTTGGTGTGTGGCGGTCTGATTCGGAGGTACAACTCATTGCAAAGCAATGCTGGGTCAAAAGGAAAGCATCCCACCATTTTAATGGCCGGTGATAAAAGAAAATAAGATTGCTTTCTGCGGTGTGAAGAACATCAAAGCCTCAGAAACTCGAGCTTCTGAGTCAAACTTCAGGTTGATTTCCAAGTCACGAAGCACTGCCACCGTGAGATCCAACAACTTCAGCCTCATACTAGTAACAACAAACTTCAAAATGCACTTGGGCCCCTGCTCTCCTTCTTCTCACTATGGTGCCTTGATTTCCAACCAGGAAGCGTGGCGAAGCGGTTGCTGACCACTTCTTGCTTTTTCTGCTCCCGCTGACGCTGCATCTGATGCTTCCTGGCACGCAGGCAGAATGAGGCTTTGAGCGCCTGCTTTCAGGGGCCAAGGATCTGCACTGTGAGTCACAGGTTCTTGCCTTGGGAGTTTCAGGCGTACGGGTTCGGATACTTCGGGTAGTGGTGGGTGGGATTACGAAATCGCCGTCACTCTTTTTGTGGGATTTCTTATGTAACCCGGAACTCTTGAGCTACAGTCGCAGAAATTCAAACCAGAATGCCTCGAGCACAACGTAAGATTATGAGCGCTTAATGTCTGCCCATACTGCAAAAGAGCCAGAATTCATGAGCTGTGAAGAATTCTCATGGTCTTTCGCATTCAAGCCCACAAGACCTTGCAGTGTCATTGAAGCACCTGCCTCGCAGACCTAGCAGTTGGGGGAAGTTTCAAGCCCTTGCAGGGCCGCTCGCTTCTTCAGACCTGCACGGGTTTCTGTGGGTCTGCGATGAGACAAAAGTCATGCGCGTAAGGGAGTAGAGCCCAGGCTTTTCCTGGCCACGCAGTGGTCTGTGGAGGTGCGCTGCTGGGTCCGTCACATGGCAGAAATCTAAGATGAGGCAAGGGGTAGCAAAAGCAGGGAGTACAGATACAGAAGTTCAAAGGGTTTTCGTATGCAAGGGATTCGATAGGGAAATATATAAAGAGTGCGGCAAGAACGTGTCAGGATGATGTATGCTGGATGTCGTGCTCTTGCCACGTTACCGTCTCCCGTTGAGTGGCTGAAGAAGCAGGGGCTACCAAGGGCGGTTCATGTGTTGTCCCCTAAGACACTCTACGGGATGCAAGGTCTAATGTGGAGATCCTTCCTGGCACAAGTGATTCTCCAAGCGTCCATCCTATCCATTCCCGGGTTGTAATGGGAGTTTCTCAAGTTTTGACCTCCGGCTGCTTGGCGGCGGAAACCTTCAAGATTTAGGGTTCTTGCGTCCCTGTACAGCACCTGCACTTGAACCTGTACGTTCCAAAGAGTTAAGAGCTCAGAGCCCTTTACTCAAACTGCTGATCCTGTACCATATCTGGACATTTATTTGGTAATTTACTACATGCTCAAAACATCTGGAATGTCCTTTATTGCAGATGCAGCCAGAGCCTAGCTTCTCAGGCAACCTCTGCTTTCAGGCTGGTGCACATCCTATGCACTCACCTGAAATTAATGGAATGAGTGATTCGAGTTTTGTCAGCGAGCCAGGTCTCAGCAGAAGCAGTCAATCTCAGCTAGGAACGTGGCGAAAAAAGGAGTCTCCAGGAAGCGGACACACACATAGATCCAGGGGATGCGATTTAAAGGGTGCCTGATGTTGCTACCAGCTTAGGCTTTAAGCGGGAGGCCGCCATTGAAAAAGCCACGCACGTCAAGGCGAGGTACTTCTGCCGAACTGTCGGATGGCATCCCACCATCTCGCGATGCGCGACTACGGCCCGTGGGTCTGCTACACACACAAGGGGCTTGGTTACCGTGTTTCTTCAATGTGTCGAGTTTTTCAATTAAAGTGATTCCCAGAATCCCTTCGTCCGTTGTGTTCGCATACTCAAAGATGCCTAAGGCGCCGCCCACCTCCATCCCCCGCATTTTGAGAAAACCCGGCTTGGATGTGTAGGTCCATTTTTTTGCCTTAGGGTGCAGCAGTTGTGTCTCCTGCTATTCTGAAGCGAATGGGACATGACGAGTTGCTGAGCTGACATTGGAATCCCTTGATGTCTGCCTTTTCGACGTTCAGTGAACTCATCACTTGCAACTGAATACCATGCAGCTTGAATGCCTGGGGCAGGTTGTTCCGCTCCCACGAGAGGGCCATGTCAACAATGCACGAGTTGCCCTGGTGCCGCTGGTACAGGTGGGCCCGAGATTGGATGGAAGCATTTCAAAAGCCGCTTCAAACGAGTGGGTGCGCGCAGTTTGGATGCGTGCCTAGTGCAGAAGCGACCAGGCGCCAGGAATTCCACCAAGTTGTGTCATTCTTTGATCTGTTACACGTCTGACAGCGCAAGCACATGTAGAATTCTATGTAGAAGAAGTGCGCCTTTGCCGCTGCAAACAGGAGGATGGCCAAAGGTCCATCTCATACCTGAAGAAGAAGTTTGTGTACGATGAGACCAAGGGCAAGTTTGAAAGGTCGCTCGGGAGAACTACTTGGAGCTTTAGGGATTGGGATGAACGAGCTGGGCCGTTCCATTCGGTGGGGATGTGCTAGATAGATTGTCCCGAAGACTTGGTTCTGAATTTCAAAGCTTTCATCTTCAGCAGAAGCTGTGACATTACCCAGCAAGTACAGGGGCGGCGTGGAAGCTCCACGCATTTTTCCAGCTAGGACGGTGCATGAGGCACCGAGCGTCGGCAGTACAATTTGTTGGCAATTCTATCAATTTTCTATGTGCCAGGCCATGCAAAGCCCAAGTCCCGGAGCTATCGGGACCGTATAGTGAATCTTCTTACGCTAGTTGCACGAGATGGTTTGATGCTCAGACAAGTATTGTACCTAATCTAGAAAACTTTGAAAACTCTTGATGCCAACGCTGTGTCCAAATTTCTGTGTCCTTTCTTGTTAGTATTACTATTATTACTATTATTATTACTATTGAAACAGGTGTTTTGAGCTTGTGCTTCCCAGGCTGCAGTTTGACATCCAATCGCCCTTGGAGCACTACCTTGGCTCAGCCGGGCTCACTACCAAGGAGGTGCGGGGCCTACATTAATCTCGGCTTCGGATGAAGGATGCCGTGTTCTACCTAGTGATACTGGGTTGAGCCATGTGGCATTGATGTGTTGATAACGTCTCTTCCTTGATATGCAACAGGACAGCGCAATGGCTGAGCAGTTGATGCAGTTTTGCGTGCTTGGTGTTACTTTGATGTGCACGAATACCGGGCGGAACCTCTTGCGTTCTTGCGTCGTGGTTGCGCTTGTTTTTCCAAGCTGCCGTGCAGGTGGCTGAGCGTAGGGGCAAGTATGGTGAAAACATCTACGACATCCCTCTGCCGGACTTTTGGGAGCTCTTCCAGGCGAGGCTCTGATTGATGGGCCCCCGGATTGCTTTCTACAATCATTTTGCCCAAGAGTTACCCCCCCATAAAGCCGTTCCAACATCAGAAAGTTATCGTCCGTCATGGCATTTGTGGCAGTACCAACTTCTGTTGGAGAACTCAAGTGGTAGCTAGCCTACAACACCTTGCGGAGGATCCCAGTGACAGACAGGGCCGCGAGAATTGTGTGTTGCGTTGGTGTTGCTTGTCTGTGGTCAGAGGAGCATGCAGTGGCGCCCTTCTTTGTCTTCCAGCTCTTCTGCGTACTCCTCTGGCTGATGGATGATTACTGGTACTATTCCTTGCTCACACTGTTGCTTGCCGGCGCAGTAGTACTGATGTCTCGGTGCGGCTACAAGTAGCAATCTGGCAAGACATGGATCGCATCATCCCGTCAGCCAACATGAGCCTGAGTAGGATCAGTTCCGAGACAGAATGCAAATGGCTAGCTTTTTCAAGGTTCCTGCTGGTCGTGCTTGAGGCCAGTGCGGGTCTGTGAGTTTGCATTGCTTTCCGAGGCAGTTTCAACATTTCCAGGTCACTGTTTGTGTTGAAAGCACGGGGTGTGTTAGCACATCAAAGCAAGGTCTTTTTGAGGTGAGATGCATGCTTTGGGGCTTCTTTGGAATAGGTTCCGGCCGAGCGTGTTGGGTGTTGGGCGTTTCGCTTGTATTGGGCTGCAAGATTGATCCGGACGAAATGGTCTTGCTGACGTTGTCTCAAAAGGTCCCCAGGCTTTGCTGCATCATGAGACTGTGCCTGGCTGAATGCAGCGCATCTCATACTTAGAACATGCTCGCCTCTGCCCAAGTATGTCAAGCAGAAGATCTGTTACTGATTTGTGTTGATCTTTGTCAGCTGAGCCATGAGTATAATGACAAGCAACAGAAATCCTGCAATCTTACCACGCGGCACAACCAAGAAATGCTGGACGATGAACATCCTGCATGAGCCTGCGTACCTTCTATCCTGCTTATTGTGGTACCGTAGTATACTACGGTCATGCAGAATGTTCAGTTAAGACTACTGCTCAGAAGGCACAGATGGTTCACCGAAGGCGTCACGACCTGTCGGAGCAGCCTGGCGGAAATTCCTTTACCCTTTTGATGCTTAAGGACACCGGGGCAGCGAATATAGGGGTGATTATGGGGACTACACAGGGATTACTCTAGGCATCCACCCCGTGCTCCTCCTAAAGCACCAGCAAGTTGCTGTGCTATGTGATGATGTAGGTCAGCGTTGGTATGCATCATCTAGGGGTGATGAAGATGTATGCAAGGATGACATAGGGCTTGCATGGGGATTTCCGGCGTAAGTTAGAGTGTGTCAAGTTAGTGGTCCCTTTGTCAGGTTCCAAGCGGAATCCCATTACTTATGGTATCTAGCAAGAAGAGAACCCTGCTATGTAATTTGGGGATAATTTGAGGGGTTTCTCTTTAACAGCATGAGCTCTGGCTGGTATCATTCATGGATGATTGAAGTGCTTGGGCCTGGGCTCTGGCTGGGCTTTGGTTGGCTCACGGATTTTGGGGCTTGCATGGGTCAGCTGTGAAAGGTCCGAGCCAGAGGGAATCTGGACCCATGCCTTCATTCTCCACCAAAGTTTGATATGCGCTGGCAAGAGGAATCTGGCGCTACCACCTTCGGAATCTTCAATCCCAAAGCCATCAACCACTCTACATCACACCAAGGCATCTGAAACCCATGGAGGTTGAAATTATGAATTCTGGGCTCAGCCAAGGCTTCGGGCCATGCGCATTCCACCGCAGCCCACACTGGCGCTGCGTGTGGCCTTGGCTGATCAGTTGAGGGGTCGCAGGATTCAGGCTTTTTGGCTTCAGTCTTGGGCCTGTCGGAGAGAATCTCGGATGAAGGCGAGCCTAGGCGTTGGACCCGGGTTTCTGATTCTTGAGGGCTGGGTATGCAGCGCAGGGATGGGGCTTTATGGTTGCAAGGCGCAGAGTTTTGTAGGACCTTTCGAAGTTTGACGCTCTGTGCCTGAGGACCCGAAAGGTAGAGTTCTGTGGAATCCTCTTGCCGTGTGCTTCTGCGTAAAAGCATGAGCAAATCTTGTAAGCTTACTGCGGCATCCTTGAGTTTCTGTGTTTTCCGAGGATGGCCAGTGGCGGGAGATCCAAAGCAACGAGCTCCTGCCTGGGGATGTCATTGGCATCCAGCGCAACCCCGAGGCCGGTCAAAAGGTGTCTTGTTAGCTTCTCCTAAAGGGGAAAAGAGTGTGAGGGGAACTCGCCTTCATTTTTCATTTCGGATCTGCCGCACCTGCCAGACACAGGCATCTTTTCCCTGTGATGCGCTGCTGCTGCAAGGCTGCCTGACTTACTTATTGTGGACTGCAGGGTATTTGGGTCTTGGAGGCTGAGATTGAATTGCAAGGGTGTTAGTTGGGTGGTGAGAGGTTGAGGGGGAGGCAGGATGATTGGAGGGCAGCTTTTTCAAGTGCAAGGCTTGTGCTGAAATCCCAGCCGTATACTTGAGGAAGCGTGCCACATCCGGTTTTGCTTGCAACGATGTAGTCGGCCAAGCCAAGAAGAGGTTGGAATTTAGTTCTGGCAGCGTTCCATAGAAATCCCTTCTGAACCCACCTGCTCTGCTTTCCCAAGGAAACGTCCTGGTCAATGAAGCCATGCTCACGGGGGAGAGCGTACCGCAGATGAAGGCCAGGCTCTGATCTACTGGAGAGGGATCAAAACATGAAAGCCTGGAAGGCTTTCAAGATGTGTCTTTCGTTCTTCCCTTGAGCTTCTGCGCAAGGTGCACGCTGGCGACGCCTCAGGCAAGTTGGCGAAAGGGATCCTGACAGAATGTGACAGAATTCAGGATCTGGTTTGATTTTGCAATCCTACAGTACAGTAAAGGCGTATGACCCCGACAATTGGAGGTCTTCCGCGCTGCTGATCTCTTCCTCAAGCCAGTGTTGATGCTTCCCGACATTGATCATGCTTCTGCTCCTGTTGACTTTAGCCATCTGTGGGAAGCATCCTCTGGCAAAGTTCCCTGAAACTGGACCAAGCTCAGATTTTTCCCTCTAAGGGCAACTTGATTCAAGCTGAATCAACAGCTGAACTGTAGACCCGAAACCCTGAAACCTCCCAAAGTCCAAACCTGCAGGTCAGGCTTTGGACATGCTTGGCCGGCACAAGCAGCATATCGTCTCTGCTGGGACGTGCCTCGGCCGAATCCTATGAAGACCGGGTGTTAAGTGGGGAATGTGTCAGTGAATCAATGCTTCTAGCCCCCGGTTGTTTCAGAGCCTTGACTCAGGCTTTTTGGTTTGGTTTTCCTTTGAAAACTTTTGTTCAGCTTCAAGTTGTTCTCAGCTTGCAAGGGCGCATTGGCAGCTGAAATAATGATTAGCATAGATAGGAGCACTGTTGCATGCATTACCCGGCGGCGCACGTGGAATTGAAAGGCTTTTGTAGCCATGGAGGTGGCGTCTTACTCCCTGAGCCCGGAATCTTGCGTGTTCAGGGTTGTCAGCCCGCAGCCTCAAGAAATCCTTCAAATGCTCAACCCAGGAACATCATGATGCACCAGAACACGGAGAAACTTGGTATGAGATGCATTGTGGGTGCCGCTTGCGGGGGAGCCGGGTTGTGGCTTCAGATGTACGTGTTGATCTCGAAGGACTCGTCAGCAAGTTCTGCTTTGGAGCGCAAATAAGAGCATGAATATCATTCTTTACATGGCTGAGAGCCTGACTCCTTTGGGTTCAGTATGTATGTCATGAGGACATGTCGTGAGGACGCGTTGTAAGCATGCCCTTGAGTCACGGCCGTCTAGCTGTCTAGCTGTTCAAGTTCAGGAGGGCTGCGTATGCCAAAGTTTGCATGCATGCCGCATATCGAGTTTGTGACCCCGGGATGCCAGTGTCAACGTCCTGTCTACTCTGCTGCAAGCACTGCCTCTCCGTGATGCAAGGGGCTGATAGACCATCATTGATGGTCCTGCATAACTAACGTATACTATATCAGAAGCATAATTCCAGCTGATGGTTTCCTTTTTCAAGCTTTCGTTACACAGAAGCTGAGGAAAGCTCGTGCCCAATGGAAGAAGGTGCCAGCCGCGCGCACATCCACGCTTGCAGTCGGTTACGCCTCTCTTCCGCACGGACGGGGTTTGTCAAATGTGCGGGCCCTTTGCATTCCTTCGGGTAGTTCCCAAAATTGGGGTCCCATTTTGGTACTCCTAAATATTAGGTGCCGTAATGTACCTGTAACCAAAAGGGGCCCAACCCATTTGTAGCAGGTATCTGTTTCCTTGGAGATGTCTTGAGATCTATCCAGTAAGCAAAGGAAATGCTCGAGCCTGAGCTTCGAGTGCTAGAACCCCTTGCAAGAACAGCAGAGCGAAGTATTCAGAGTACCATTCCTGCCGGTTTCTTATTATGGTTTCGTAAATGCATATGGACAACTTTGGTTTTGTTTGATTATTGACTCTTCTTGTCATCATTGCCAATTGCATGTACTGGTTTTGTTTGCTAAGGTTCCTGTGAAAGATAGATGTTTCCTGTGCGGCGGTACGCTTGAAGCAACCGATGTGCTGCCGCTAATCAGTTGCGTGCTTCTTCATTGGAGCCTTCAGCTCCAGGATTTTGAGGTCTGCGTTCACGCGACTGCTGGTGTAGACGAGCTTTACGGCAGTGCTGGGTGACATGGGATGCCCAGAGCCAGAATCAAATTTGGAGCACGTGATGCCAAAACTACCTGCTGAGTTTGCGTCGTCATCCTTAGCCATTCAAGCGTGGTGTCTGCCGTCCCAGGTTCTTCGCACTGGCTTTGACACCACCCAGGGCAAGCTGTGCCGGACAATACTCTTCAGTGCGGATCGCGTCACCGTTTCCAGCAAGGCCGCTTGAACGTCGAGCCAACGTATCTTTACTACACGCTCGCGATGCGGTGCATTCATTTTCTACACAGCTTGTCTGACTGGGTTGCTGCGAGAAGCATGTATCGTGCTCACATTTTCAAGCAGGTCAGGGGAAGCAACACCATCATAATCATCATTTTCATCGTTATTTTTCATGCTGGCCTCTGGGTTTCTGGTATCTGTTACATGCGTCAAGAAAGGTGCTTCTGCTTGTGCTTACTATCTTGGTTTGTAGCCCCAAGCTGGAGTCGTGAGATTGGACCGCAGACTCTGTATTTTACGCTTTCGATGCGAACTTGCCCTTGAACATTTGTGTATCAGTGCCCAAGGCTTGATAGGCAACCCGAGCAAGCCCCCCATCCAACAGCTAATTTTTGGAGGAAGCCTACCTCTTCATTGGCATCCTGCTGTTCTTCGCGGTTTTGGCCTGCCGCATGGCAGTTCTATTGTTCAAGACTAGGTAGACAGCAACGATGTTACGAAGTCGCAAAGAAAAGGCCCCATGCAAACGTGGGAGCTGCAGCCATGCTTTCAGCAATGAGTATCTTGCATGTCCGACAATGCGAAGATGTGATGGCCATGCTGAAAGCCCGTAAGGTAAAACCTTTACAGTAGCTGGAGGGAACCAAGGAGTAGCACTGAAACGTCAGGAGGCCAAGTAAAGACTCCTACGTTGGATTCTGCTCCGCTAGAAAGGCTCCATGAAGCACTCTGAGCAAGTGGGGCCTGCTACTAGGGGAGCTTGGAGACGATGGTTTTGCAGAGGTAGCTGAACAGTTGAAAGACCTCTGCGCCCTTGAAGCTCTACCCCTGCGCGATGGATTGTAGATAATCGTCTAGCCTGCATTAGTTTCGTTATGCTCTTTAGTCCTCGCACGCAAGCCAGAGTCCTCAAGGTCAAGCACACGTCCAAGGTCCCTTTGCAGCCTTCCACTTCTATACAGTAAGTGCTGGGAAGCAGCCAGTAGTTTGGGCAGCTAGCCACAAACTTCCTTGCAGCTGAGGCATCTACGTCCTGTACGATGGCCTGGTTCTTGTCCCTGCCCGCGGCGAGACGCCCCGATCCACCTTCAAGCTTCTGCTGCTCAGCTGGTTTGACCTTGGCTTTCTGGGGCAGCAGGAAGCCAAGATAGATGGCAGAAGCTAGTTCGGACCTTGTGGTTTGCTCGGATCTTTGTTCACTGATATTCAAAGTATTTCAGCACTTCGGAAAGGGTCAATGGTTTCTCTTTGCTAAGTATCATCTAATCCGCAGATGCCCCAGAGCCTTGCCCCTTCCTGTCATCTACATTCGCGCCAATCTCCTTGGAGATTTCAGGCAGGTTGTGCTGACATTTTGGCAGCACTTCGCGCTGAAAATGAACGCAGCGCACTCCATCCTGACTGTTCTCAAATCTCAATCCTACACACTGACGATGAAGCCTCGAGCCAGAGTGTCAAGCACAAGGCTCCTACTAGCACCCTGCAGCCTCAAGATCTTGAGCCCACTGCCTGCAACTTAACGTCTAGGTTCTTATTCCTAAGTCTCAGCTGCTTGGGTTCAGGAGCCCAGGGAAGCGTAGCGTGAAGGGTTTTTCACATGCTTCAGCTGAAGAGCAGCTGAGTGTCTTGGCAACCTGTGCATGCATATGAACTGCTATATAGGGCACCACCATAGGGAATAGGGGTTTTCAATTTCAAGGGGGATACTAGGAGTTTAAACTATAGCTCGTGTGTCGTGCGCCCACTGCACGGCAACCGAACGCGATGCTGTGCACCGATCGTGGGCAAGTGACTTGCTTGCGAGCCACTCCCATGCAACGCGCCTTTCGAGGCTGTTGCGCTTAGTCCAACAGTTAGGAGCCTCTGCCAACCTCAGCTTGGTGAGCGCAAGCGGGCATGGAGCGGCTGGATATCCACTTGTTTGAGGGGCGCTGGTTTTGTCAGGATTTGCAGGAGGAGTGGAGCGCAACAGCCTCGAAGGCATGCACGGGTGTCAGATGCAGTTCAGCTGCTGGTGGATGGTGACCAGCATAGCATCAAAGAAATTGAGATGGCAGCTCGGTTGGCGGGGTCAGCTGAGGCTGTGGTTTTTGCAGCTCCCGGGAGGTTGAACAACAGGAAGTGGCAACATTTTTTTCAGGGTCAAGGAGTTACATTCCGTCCGGTTCAACGAGAGGACTCTGAAAAGCCGGGTGATGCAGCCATCATTGCAGCCATGGAGCTCTTCATTGCTGGTCCCTCTTCAAGAACCGCATTGTTGGCAGCTGACAGGGATTTCGCGCCGGTCGTGTGTCGCGCTGCAGCAAGTGGCAAGGAAGTAATGGTAATAGTGCCAGAGAAGCGTATTCATGTAGCTGATTTGTATCGTCCCCTGCCCTCCGTGCAGGTGCAGTTACTAAAGCCCGACACACCATCGGTTTCCAAAGTGAAAGCTGTGCTTTACTCGGGAGGTCGTGGGAAGGTACAGCTGTGCAGGCCCATTGCAAAGCAGAATCGCATCTTAGAACTGGCATACATCAAGGCAAGGCTGACAGACTTGGGGTATTGCCAGCCGGATCAGCAGAGCGGCTTCATGGTATCTCCTATAGCCAAATTTTGGCATGCCAACCGTGTAGACCCTCTTGTGGTCTACCCGCTACATTGTGGGATTACGCAGCTTCATGCGGTGCTGGCAGAGACTGGGACGGTTGATTGGAAGCCATACACTGCCAAGTCAGCATTCTGCCTGCCCTCCCGCTGGCCGAGAAAAACGAAGAAAAAGATCGATCGGTTTGGGTCCACCCTAGCTGCAGCAATCCATGCAGGTGGAGGGCCTTTCATTCTTTGCGATGCATCAGACCTGGCAAGTAAGGCATTGCGTAGGCTAGGTTACCCTAACTGGCCATGTGATTCTGATGTGCGGGAAGCTTTGTTGGTGTTTATAAACAGCTCCTCTAACAAGTACAAGCTCAGGGAGATGGGCCTACTGCCATGCAGGAGCGACACAGTGGCAGATGTCCAGTCCAAGATCAGACGAGCTTTCCTCAACAGCAATTCTTCCGGAGAATGGCAACTGGGCCCAGCAGACTCCCGCGTGCGAAGGCTGCTTTCGGCGGAGAAGATGTTGAGCTCGCAGCACGCAGACAAAGCAGAAATGCTCTATACCATGAAGAAGTATCTGAAGCAAAAGCGCTGGCCAGACATGAACTCTTACATCGGCTGTGTCTGGTGCATTTATCGCCATCTCAACCTGGCTGACCCTAGCAGGCGTAGTCTTGTTGAGTTTGATGCCTAGGTTGGCATGTGGCTTGTGTAGGATGCATGACAACTTGGCATGCGCTTCTGCTGAGTCAAAGTCTGGTAAGGTGACCCTCTGCTAGAAGACTGCTGCTGAGCTGAGCCTTCAATTTTTCAAAGCAGACAATGACATTTGCGAGTTCGAGGTCGTGCACACGAATATCTCTAACGTGTCCTGAACCCACATTTCAAAATTTGCCAAAACTTGCAGACACTATTCGACTTTGAGCACGGAGCTACTACTGAAACCTTGCCAGCTGTTTTATCACGCACCAAACAGTTCTCGAGGATGAGGAGTTTCGACAGGAGTAGACATAGCATGCGTTGTAAGCGTCGGGGACCTCTGAGAAGATATGCCCCAAGCACTTATCATCTCGATGCAAAGAAAGACCTACTACAACACCCTCCCTGGTTTTTAGAATTGCTAACCACTGACCGCCACGAGTCACACAAACATCCCCTTTCAACAAGGAGGAATGATTCACACATCGTGCGTTTCGAAGTTCTGGAATGGGTGTCAAATCTTAAAATCGTGCTGCAGCAGCCCGCAGGCAACAGTCAAGAGAGGCTGGTGCAGTAAGGGGACAATGCATTAATTAGACCTCGCATGTTGCCAGCAATGCGCAGCAGCCCTAGGTCAAGGGAGGCTCGGAATTCATGAAAACAAGGACATGATAGCTTCAGGAAAGTGCAGTGGCGCTATTGCGGGATGGGAGACTACAGCTCGACAAGTCTCCATCGCGTTCAAGTAAACTCCAAAGCATTTGTTCTGTTTTATTTCGGTAGGGAAATTGCGCACGCATGAATGAGTGTTTGACTGGCTCGTAAGGTTGGCAGTGAGCCACATCATCACGACGCTTGGCAAACACAATGGCCATGTTTGGTTTCAATGGTCGTGCTTCCTTCGGCAAGTTCCTACATTAGAAGGCCAGGAATGCTTGGAGGCCCTCTTCATTCTTGGCTTCAAGCAGACCCTTATCAGGCTATTTGAGCCGTTGAGAAATTTTCAGTGTTTTCATTCACAGTAGCTTCAGTGTTAGCTGCTAGCCACGAAGGTAAACTGTTTGGTATCTAATCCACGTTCCGCAGGCTTGTTGTCATTTCAGGCTTCATGCCCTTAGAGGAGCTAGAGGCAGTGTAGAGCCTGAGCATTCAGGGATTTGGATTGTATGGATGCAAAGTGCTGCTGGTCTCTGCTAACAAAGGGAACAAGGTTTACTCTTCCCATACTGAACTCAACATCTGACAAGTTTTCCTCGCAGGATGTCCGTTAAAAAGGCCTTCAAACCATGCGGCAGGATGATGAAACCCTCATTTGGAACCTACTGCAGGCAATTTGTCCGGCTTCAGTGTCCTGAGTGATGTGAGGGCATTTTTCCAAACAAGGCCCGGAAACAAAGTCTGCTCCCAAAGTGTGGCCCAGAAATTTGAGAACCCTCCAGCAACCTGAACCTGCAGAAGTCAGCAGCCAAAGCTGGAGGTCTGTGGTTCCTCCAGAGTTCCCCATCATGCTCCTTGGACCATGGGACGGGCAGTGGTCTGTGTCATTTTGGGGCTTGTAATTGCACCATATTGCACACTCTGCGTCCCCTCCATGTTCTGGGATTCTGTTCGCTGCCAGGAGAGGACCTGCGTGAGGGTTGTGCTAAAACCCTTGTTTCTTTTTTCTGTTTAGCGAAGTCGCACAACAGGGTTCCAAGGTTCGCGAGCGAAAGAGGCGCGAAAGCACGGCGAAAGGAAATTACTGATGGTTGCTTCATCATGGGTTGTCGTGAGCGAAGAGAACATTATCCCAAATCAGAGTTGCAGTGTGCGTGCGAAAGACCGCACAAGCTCCGCGAAAAGCAAGGGGGTTGATGGGTTCCTGGCCGAAGGAATTCAGGACAGTGCCCACATGCACATGGGACGATAGAACGAAAAAGCATTGTTTGCAGCATAAGGCAGTACGCTGACCCTCAAAGGCGGTAAGAACCGTCCAGTGCCCTCTTCAGGTAGATGTTGACTCTGTTGTGTGCGTTGCATGGAGTGCATTTGAGAGACGTTCCTTCTGGAGTTCTGGTGCGACTTGAGATTGACTCTCAGCTCAGGCTTTCACTGGCTGTGAATCTTAGCCTTGTGGCACTCATCTCCAAGCGGATCTTCTGCACAGAGCCGTTCAGGCAGCCGGGATCCGGGAAAGATCAATGACTGGCTGCAGTTGCCATTTTCAGGGTCACAAGTCATGCTATAGCCAAAGTAGTCGTTGACTCCGACAGCTGGTTCTGGACTGTGACAGCTGAATGATTGTAGTGTAGTAACGACCCTAACGGGTAGGAAGAGGACATTTTCTGAGGATCCCTATGACTTAAAATTTGCTTGGTCTCTGCTCATCCTGCACTTCCGAACCTACGCAGGGTGCCTTTGGCTGGGCAGTGCCCTGGCTGCAATTTATTGATGGCCATGACCAAGCTAAACACGCGATTTCACTTATGTCCGATGCAGGCTTCAGCCGCGGGTTTACCGCTGCAAGTCGTTATGCCATGTTGATGGGAGAACCATTCTCTGGCCCGCTGCCACTCATCAATGTGTGGCTAGTGGCTCCTTGTGCCGTTGTTTTGTCCAGGATTCAGACTTGCTGCTTCGACAAGACGGGGACGTTGACCAGCGACTCCATGGAGGCAAATTAGTAGAGTACACAGGTGGTTCAGCACCTCGTTGTGTAGGTCTGAGGCCTTCCAGCTCAAGCTGCAACTTTGGACGCAGCTGAAACAGCTTCTGATAGTCGGATTGCCTCTGAGAGTTTCGGAGGAGTGTAGGGAAATCAGGCATCCAAAGGGCTGGACAATCCCTAGCCGTTTGCATGTACATGAGGTAGGTCCTTGTTATTGTCAGTGTCGTCTTGAAATTATTGTAATTATTTTGCACTACTGTGGCTTTTGTTCTTGTTTTGGCATAGTTATGCTGTATGGGGTGCTCATCTAAGGGGACAGCAGTTCCACCTGATACTTACATATCCTTGTGGTTCACTGATGGTGATTAATGAACCGAGGAATGGATTTCTGTAGTAGCCCCTATGCAATCCCCGATAATGCAGTAGTGCCCATATTGGTTTCCTCCTTCCCTCCAAACAAGAGGCAAGTTAATGCTCAACCCTTAACCCGACACGTTCCAGTACAACCCCAGTTTCTCATTCTTGGCTAAAGACTTATAGCCCCTTTAAATGATCCTAAACCCTAAACCCTAAACCTACATACTTATAGCCCCTTTAAATGATGCTTTGGGGGCAGGTGGGTGGAGTGCATGGCCTGGAGTATCCTGCTCCACCACTGGCAGAGGCAGTGGATGAGAAGGAGGTTGGCGGACTGCAACATCTTAGGTGGTTTCTATGGGGTTATATAGGGGTATATAGGGTTTCTATGGGGTCACTGTGTCAGGTGTAGGTTGTCGGGTTAAGCTAATAGGGACCCGTCACCCACTATTCGTGACCGCCAGTGAGAACGGTAATTATGTTGGGCTCCGAAAGATTCCGGTTGAATCGATATTTCTCCGTGGGTGGCGCGGACCACGTAAGCTTCAGGGCTTGAATTTGGATTTGGGGTTCCTTTGTGGCATCCCAGATTGCGGTGCCTTCTAATCGCATTCTGCAGTCCCATGCCGAACAAGAGTCTTCAGTAGCGTTTTTTGCTTATGGCGCATCTCTAAACCCTGAACCCGGCTACCAGTTCTTCCTGGTATGTCTAGGATACTGCATCGTAGTAGACACAGCCATGTAGAACCCCCACACTTTCTGCAGCCTTAGCTGGAGGTGAAAGAGGTCGTGCCACCCTTGCAGCAAACGCTGCCGCGCATGAAAGAGCATGCTTTCCTTTCCTTTCATTCAGGGTTGGTGGTAAGGTTGAAATTCTGTAACTCTGCAAATGTCTTCCGGCCTAGCAACTTCAACAGGCAGCTGCGAACTCCTCAGACTTCAACCTAGACCTACCTTCCAGACTATAAAAGGGTGAAATAAACATGCACTGGACGTTTCGGGAATACGGGTAAGAGTATGGTAGAACAACATTTCAATAGTGTAATAATGGTGAACAGTATAATAGTATCAGTATAACAATAGAATGGTAGAACAGTAGAGGTAATGTTGGGGATCATGTGCTCCCAAAGCAAATTCGAGGCTCCCCTTCCTGTCCACCGCCGTGATGGCCGCGTGCAGTGGGTTGACCGTCGTGGAAGGGGAGGCATCACTATGTAAGATATAGAAACTCCTTAACGGGATTACATGGGGGATATATTGGGGACTACTACTACAGGTTTATTAAGAGGAATACTAGGAGTGTAGATCATGCATAGTTCATGTCGCACAACGTCGTCGCAGTACTTTTGGGTCTCTAAAACTGACCCCTGAACTTCTGCTTCGGAGCCGAGCTATTTCGGACGCTGAGAAAACATGAGGTAGTTCTTTGTCGAATCAACGCGGAGGATTCCCTAGCCTTCTGAGCATGCGAAAAGTAGTGCTTCCTTTAGAATGATAATCGCTGGCTCACAAAGCGCCTCATGCCCAACGGTTCGGAGTCATGGAAGTACAGGTCAACAGGAGGGCTCAGCTGTCAGGGTTAGGTTCTGGGGTCAACGCAATATCGCAGGACGCAATATTGCAAAGATCAGATCTAGGAATTCTTCATCTTTACACGGTGTTTAGAGCCTGAATATCCTCTCTTGACTGTACTGAAAATGCCGGCCCACACGTTGTATAGACCTCCTCCGCGAAAGGATTGCTGGGCTGGCTTATTGAATCCGTCACAGGTTGAACGGGGGGGGGTCATCCAGAATCAGTCTCGAGCCCGCACAGGTAGTGGGCGACCCCTTGGAGAAGGCTTCCCTGCAGGCGCGCGTGTCTGAACAACATATGAGCTACTGTCAATATTAGGGATACTAAGGGACCATTAAGGGTGGACATAGGGATCCTTCTTATAGTTTACTAGCCCCTAACATATTTTCTAATAAGGAACAATATTTCTCTTGCAAGTATTGACTGTAGCTTCAAAAAGTAGCTCATCATCTGGGGCTTTGCCTTGAGCGCAAAGTTCGTGATATTTCCTGACTTTCTACAGTTGGGCTTGACCCGGGGGTGCTCGTCCCATTGCCGAGACACCCTTTGTCTTCATACTTCAGTCTTCTTCGTTTCCATACACAACTTTTTCCGAACGCAGACGCAACCTTTTCGCAACCCCGTATTACCAGAAATCGCAATTTCATGAAGCGCTTTGCCTGCCAGGGTTGGCAGCTCGGAGAGAGAACGATTCTGCTTATTTGCTTGTGCGTAAACTTATACCAAACCCTGAACTCATAAACGCCAGCCTTAATCCTTAGACCTTACATCTCTAGAGCATTCACCCTAAACTGCCTAAACTTCAGCCCAGAGGCCCTAACCCTAAACTCCATCTCCTAAACCCCAACACCTAAACCTTTAAGCTCAAAGGCAATCCGGTGGACCATGAAAGCGCCAGACCTCGTCACCTCAAAGATGGGCGACTGGGTGCCAGAATGTTGCTGAAAAGTCTTTGCTCTCGAGAGGGTGCAGATTTAGGGCTTCTGGGTATGGAGCTTGGGCCGTACTTATTTGCAGTGGGGGTTCGAGTTTTCGGCTTAGAAAACATGCTGAGATCATGTGAGTGGTTTGGGCTTGATGGGATTGGTGCAGGTGCAGGGAGGCGTTGTTGCCAGTAAGAAGGATGGAATCATTCAAGCCGGCAACTCCTCAACAATCTCCATCAGGCCTGGGCCGATCCCAGACTGCAAAGCCTAGCCAATATTATAGTCCTAGGTTCCTTGTATGGTTGCGGTATAGTGTACCTCAAGCAGGCCTCCACATGATGACCCCAACATATTCCCTGGTAGTTTCCATTTTCTTTTCCATTATCCCTGTATTACCCAGATTATGTCCCTCTAATAGTATAGCAGTTTCCGTTTTCTTTTCCATTATCCCTATAGAACCCCTCATGTTTCCTGGTCATTATTTAGGCAAGGGAGGCGACTTGCTCCACGTCCTTCGTCGCTGGCCCTTCGTGTCTGAGCTGCGAAGGCAAGCTGCCTTCAGCTTGAGGTATGCTACTTAGTGCTTCATATGAGCTACGGACTAAATTTAGGTTGCGGGGGGACCTATAGGGGGAATATGTAGGGTTTTAGGGGGGACCCATTAAGGGCTGTAGTACAAATTTAGTCCAGGGCTCATATGAGGGCTGTCAAAATCATAGTCCTGTATTTCAGGGAGCCCAAAAAGGAGAACAAACTTGACGACCTACCATATGAAACAGGTAAGGTACCCATGCTCTTGATGCAGACTTATTGATGTCATTCCGATGGCGTCACTTCGAACCCGAGATGTCTTTTGTTGAGTTTTCACTCACACGTCAGTTGAGGCCTCTTGTGACCATAGAATCCCTGGGGCCCAGCAAAGTATAGAGGGATTATGCGGTAATCTTACTGGCTTCATGACCCAAATGTCCCTGCAACATGTTTCTCGAAGAGGGCCCCTTAACTTCAGGCGCCGCTGGCAAACTGTTTGTAAGTAGCAGGTGTGGCTCTAACAGCTCAGCTGTGGTTGTTCGGAAAAAACAACATGTTTTTCTAACCTTCATTTATCCCATCCCCTCCAGGCTTCATTTTCAAAAGCCTCCCAGCGGAATCCTGCAGACGCCCCTCAACACCTTGGTCCACAAGCAGTTTTTGCTTGGGAGGATGGCGGTGGTCGTCCGGCACAGGGGACCTGGGCTTGGCTACCAGGAGTCCAAAGGCCCCCCGGAGTTCTGAGGGGCTTAAACCGGCCTACAGGCAATGTAGAAGGTTTGGGGTAGATCGCTTCCGGCGCAAGGATTCATGCATGATGCACCAATGTTGGGGCTTGTGGACATTGCTAGATTCGTTCGTAAGCGTGGAGTTCTTCTCGCTAAAGATGAATAATAGTGGTGAGTTTTGCCATTCCTGCCATGTTTGAGGGTGTGTACTTCAGCGCCAGAGCGCTTCTCGAGAAACCTGGCATGTACTGCATGGTGACGTGGAGTTAGAGACTTCAGCGAACCAAGGGTTCCTGCCCCAAAGCTAGGTGTTTTGCTAGGTGTTTGCTGCACGCTTTTTGCAGGGGCCCTGGGCGCCCAGAGGGATTTGGACCGTGTGCTGGCCCTGGTGAGCCTTGGAGGAAGATGTAGTTTGCGAGGCCACGGCGAGTCCTACCCAGAAACTGCCTGCTTGCAATAATATCACTTGTGAGAATCCAGACGTAGTGGTTTGCCGTGATAGTGCCCCATGGAAAGCCTACCACCGGTTTCTAGCTTCCTTGGCAGTCTCGTGAGAACGGGGCCAGCATCAAAAATCGACAGTTGTGGGTATTCTGCTGTGGTGCACAGCTGTTGGGTACTTCTTATCAGTTTGGCAGCTGCCGCACCCTCCGAACTCAAGCTTGAAAATTCTTGTGCCAGGAGATGTTGCAAGGATTATGTTATATTGCGATTCGTCGATTCGTTTGCCTGACCTGGTGATCCAAACTGGCAACTCCCTGCTAAGCTGAACATTTAAACTAATGACCTTATATACACTCTGGTGACGCCGCCTGCACCGCTTGTGATTCTAAGGAAGGGCTCATGTGATGCTCTGAAGCCTCGCGGCCTGGCTTTTGACTTTGACTGGCTTGGCGGTCATGCCTTGTAAGGAGTATCAGCTTGCTGTAGGCGAAGAGGAAATGATGTCTGCGCTATGCTCTGTGCATTCCTGTCATGCAATCTTGATAGCCCTGATAGGCAGCGCTGAAAGATTGCACTTAAGTCATCAAGTTTTCTATTTTGGTAGACCGCTTGAGTTTCTGCCGCACAGACGCCGCCGACTGCCAGGGTGTTACTACAAGTATAGGTACAGTCTTATCTGAGGAATGGTCCAGGTGCCATCAGACTTGGACGACATGCAGGAGAGGGATGAGTGATCAAGGTTCGGTGCTTTCCCGCTTTGCCCGTCTGAGAACGATAACAATAGTGATAATTGCAAGTATAGCAACTATAGTGCTTATAGTAATCATACATTCCATAAGGTTCGTTGAAGGCTGAGGATTCCTCTGGTGGTTTCAAGTCAGCCGACGTTGACTCGGAGGGGTTTAGCGTTCCTAGCAGTGGGTTAGCTCGGGCAAAACTTGAGGCTGAAGCATACGCTGCAGAGATTCGTGCGCCGATCCTTTGCTACAGTCCCAGAAGCATGATCATGTTATCTGAGTACTCACTTGATGGAATGCAAAGTGGAATCCTCTCGTGCCCACTGACATTGATCATTTGTGAGATGGCTTCCCCTGACCCAGCAACTCTGCATCCGAAGTACTCAGAGGACCAGCTCACAAAGTTCGGCTTCCGCGTGCTGTGCTTGGCAGCCAAGGATCACTCTTCAGAGCCAAGGGACTTCGGATCTG